GCTACTTAAATATAGAGAAATGTATACCTACTGCCGTGGAGCCGTAGACAGCTGTTGAGAGACAATGGAGCCGACGCTGAACTGAGTTTCCTTGTTCTTTTAATATACAGCAAAGCAAACACCAAAAATACCAAACGAAATACTCAAATAATATACTCAAAAATACTGTCGAGCAAAGCATCAGCGCGAAATGAAAAGCATTAACTTAGCAGAGCATCAGCATCATCACCATCATCATAGCATACAGGGTTTACATATCAAAAGCAACTTCGGGAGAGATGTTTCTTTTACTGGAGGATTTTCTTAGGAGGATTTGTCAAAAAATAAAACACAAGCGCAATTTTTTGTTGGTTTTTTAGTTTTTTGTTTTTTTTTTTATAGAGAGGGTAGTTTTCTCCGCTAAGGATTTTCAAAGTTTACTTTTATTTAGAGAAGTTCCTTTAATGATAATCATACTTATGCTTTTTGTTTGCCTTTTGCTTTTAAAAGTTTTGTTTTGTTAATAAATAGTTGTTGTTTAACAGCTAAATACATGTTGTTATAATATTTGAATGTGGTAATTGTATCTTTGTTTGTTCTTTTTGGTTTCTGTTCTTTCTGGTAATGTTTTCGACGTTTGGTGTAGTTTTATGTTTTATTTTGTTTTTTTTTTTCTTTGTTTTTGCTGCGTTAAAATTCACTTACTAACTAGGTATGTTGTTGTTGTTATTTTCGTTTAATTCGTTAATTAATTTATGTGGTTTTTGTATTTATTTTATATTCGTTCTAAATTATAATTGTTTAGCTTGATTTGGTTTCTGGTTTAGCCTGGGCTGTTGTGCGGCACCGTGTGGTTTGTTTTGTCCTTCGAGTTCGCATTTCGACAAGTTTAAGAATCAATCATTTCTTCTAAAATTAGGTATACGTAATCTATATGTCCATATATCTTAGTAGTTAGCGTCACTTAATATCCTAAATTGTAACAATAAGTTTTGTGTTTTGTAATTATTATGTTCCTTGGGTAACGTTTACACACATTTAAGCAATACATTTTCGTTTGGTTGTCTGGTTATATAATTGTTGTAATGTCCATATAGTATATATGTTCTTATATTGAGTTTTAAACGTTGCTTGCAATGAACTTTAACACCAACTTACGTGCTAGAGAATTGAGTTCTATTTAAGTATAGAATATTGTGATAATAATAATAATAATATTAATTATAATAATAATAATAATCATTATATATTTTGCTTCGCTTTGACTCTGGCGCACCAAACTTTTGGCACATGCTGTACTTTTGCTGCGTCGTTTACCAACACTGCCTTTCACGGCCTTCACTTAGCAGCTAGATTAATTGAGTTTTGCTTTTTGTTTTTTTTCTTTTGTTTTTTGTTATATAACATGCACATTTCTTCATCAACTCATGAGTAGTTATGTAATGCTATTAACTGTTATTTGTTGTTGTTGAGATACTTGAATATATATTTAGGTATAAATACGTAATATATGTTTATATATGTGTATTTTAATTGTTAATTGTAACATTTATAAATTGTTGTTGTATATATATTTTATGTACTGTTAGAACTTGAGAAAAATCACTAAAATGTATATTCCATATATATATTTATATATATTATATTGTTTATTTAACTTTCCATTAACTCTTCGCATCTCATATGACCCTCAACATTAAATTTTTTGTAAGTTTTACTAATGAAAAAACGATTAACACATTTATCGATTAATAAATTGTTTTTAATTGTGGTTGTGGGCGTGTGCTTTGAGCAAACCTTGTGCCACAACACGAGCCTAGATAACGGTATCAAAAGGTATGACAATCGCATCGGGAGACTTCTCAAAAATTGAATTTGAAAAAAAAGAAAACTCCCCTCGGCTCAGCGCTGGCCTCGCTCAATTTTCGTGGCACCCTCGCACCCGTTTCGCCCGGACTCCATGCCAGGCTACTCGGCGTGCTTAGTGCGCTCTTGAGCGGCTGGCAACGCTGAGCTCGGGAAAGCCATCTGGAAAATGCTCGATTAGAAATCCATTTGTCTGGGCTGACGTTGTGGCACAATTGAAGTGCTTAAAGCAGTGGACACCTATGCTTAGACTAAGACATTTATATAATTTAGCTTGAACTTTTTAGCTTTGATTTCCGCTGTCACACAGTCACGGAACGATTGGCATTCGGCACACGACGCTGTCTGGCAACGCTGCGTGTTCCCAATGCCCAACAACGTTTTCATGCCTGCGAGCCTAGGCCAAGGAACGATTCGGTGTTTCGCTTAGCTTTGGCTCTGCTCTTTTGATTATACTATTCCAGCGTTCCGCAAGCGAAACGTTTCGACTTTGAATTCGAACTTTATATAATTGTTGTTGTTTTTTCTTCTACTTCTTCTTCATTTATGTAACCACCAATACCTTAATTAATTTATGTGTTTTGTAGTTTTGCTTTTGTTTTAACGCCTTGTAGCTGGCTGCTACGGTTTGTGCTGTTCCATTTCATGCGTTTCAATGCCAAAATGTTTTTTTTTCGTGTATGTGTGAATTCCCTAGATCTTGTTTACTATATTACGTTGCACTACGTTTATCCAACTTGGTTGCTTACTGCTACGTCGTGTGTTTAGCTTTTAGATTTTAGTTTTTCTTTTCGGTTATCGCGTTTGCATGACTTAGCTCCATTCCGCTGTTCCGTTTTCTAGCGTTCCTTGTTCAGGCAGGCCGTTGCTTAATTTATTGTTTCGTAGTACCTCAGCTACTCGTTCTACACTGCTGCTCTTCTCAAATAACTTTTCTTGTAGTTCTGCTGCTCTTATTATTAAGTTTTTCTTTAAGTTTATGGTTTTTATTTTTTGTTTTTGTTTTGCATACCCTTGGGCTTAGCTGTTGTTGTTGTTGTTGTTTGCGCGACTTATTTTTAATTAAATGTACGCTCTTCGCTCTTCAATTTGCTACTTTTGTATCTTAGAGTCAAATGTGCTTGGTTGCCGCTACATTAACTGTTAGATAAGATGTTCTCTCGCAAGAGTTCTTGTTTCGTTTTTCGTTTTTCGTTTTGGTAACCTCATTTTTTACGAGTGTATTTTGTGTAGTGTAGTGTAAACGTGTTTTCTGTTGTTGCCTTTTAACCTTCTGCTAAAAATGATAACACTAATCAATGTTTAATCGAAATCATAGGCATAACTTAGCATTTTATTAAACGTAAACCCATTTCAAGAACTGTTAATATGTATTTTATATATATTATATGTATATATCTACATATATATAAATATATATATATACATATATATATATATAGATACTTGTTTCAAGCAGTTGAACAGCGCTTTAATTTCAGCGTCGCTTTTACTATATAGTATACTTTATATATATATATATATATATATATCTTGTCTATCCGAAAAATCAGCTAGTCAAGTTCATAATCCACACATATATATATATATATACACACATATATATATATATATGAACTTGAAGCTGACTTCGCCACGATTTCCCGTTTCGCTTCTCTAAAATATTTCCTTTTTCCTTTTCTCTAATTGGGGTTTTTCAACTATGTAGATATCTTGGTATTTACCGCACTACGATTAATCGTTATCAAGTGTGTGTGTGTGTGTGTTTATGTGTGTAGTTTTGTGGTCTGCGTATATAATAATATATCTGACTAGTTAATGTTAAACATAGCATAAGAACTAAATAAATATTATCATCGAGTAACTACAGCGTCTGCCTTTCGTTTAAATAGTTTCGTTTGCCTAAACACATATGTTCATATACATACATACATGTGTGTATATATTCATATATATTGTATATCAAATCATATTCGTATTCATTTAAGTATCGTATTATAATATATAAGTTATATTCTTAATAGAAAACATACGTAAAATCGTCTATCGGTTTGCGTTTGCCTTTGCACTTGCTGAAACATAAAGCTCTACACAAAATACTTGTTTTGTTTTTGTTTCACTAATAATATAATGCGTTACTAGATCGGAACTAAGTGGTTTCATAGATCCACCCGATAAATATGTTTTTGTTGTGGTTTTTTTTGTTTTGTTCATTCGTTTTAGCAGCTTGTCAAAAACTTATCTCAAAATCGTTTATAAATGGTTTTTGTTTGGCAAACTTTGGGGCGCGGCACAGGGCTGAAACGTTGGGAGTGAAACAGCAAGATCATTTGTTTCATTCCCACATTCCAGCCTGTGGCGCTTTTCGTATTTAGCTGTCTGGGCTTCAGTTAAAAACTTTTACAAAATATGTTCATTTCGTTTCGGCCCGCCTGAGAGCTGCACTGGATGGGGAACGTTGGGTATGAAACAGCAAGATCATTTGTTTCATGCCCACATTCCGCAGCCTATAGCGACGCTCTGAGGCCAGCCCAACGGAAAGCCCAGTTAAGTTTGTAAAGCCCAAAAAGATTGTTGGGATTCGGCATTTGTTGAGGCTTTTGGATTAAATAAAATACGTTAAAATAGTTGCATCTAGGGTTACCAAAACAGTTTGGTTTCAGTTTCGACTACATAGAGTATGATGTGGGTGGGTTACAGTTATCGAGGCTTAACATGTAGCAGAGATTTACTCAGTTTCTGGCATACGATATGATAGCATGTCTCGGGACTATGTGATATGATGTGATGATGATGATGATGAGGTCAAAAGAAATGAAGAAATACCGGAACATATGCGCTACTAATGTATGTGTATATGCATGCGTTAACTGAAAGATCAAAGAACGACTACCGGCGATAGCTAGAAAGAAACGAGAGATGAACGAACAGCGAGCAACGAGTAGATAAACGACGAGAGCGAGCGATGCGATGCAATGCGTTAGAGACAGACAGAGAGAAATAAGAGAGAGAGAGAGACAGAGAGAAAGAGAGAAATAGAGACGAGACAACGATGAAGGCGCGATAGACGTGTACGATGTATCGAGTGTTACTCGTTCATGTTGTTGCTGTTGTTGTTAATGTTGTTGTTGCTGTTGCTGTGGTTGCTGGTGTTGTTGGCTTTGGTTGTTCGCTCAAGAACTGCATTTGTCTTTGAGTATGCAGCGTATTGGGATTATATATGTATATATTTATTTAAGATTGAGTTTGAAAGAGTGGAATAATTATGAACTTAAGCTTAGATTCTGACGGCATACCAAAAACAAGCTGCCCCCACCTCCACACAGCTGCGGCCCCTCTCGATCTCATTCTCGTTCTCGTTCTCGTTCAATGCCAGCGCCGACGTTGCATCAGTATCTGCTCGTGCACGATTTGCCAGAACTTGCCGTGCAGCCAGACGAGCAGCACCACCAGCTGCATGAGCAGCGGCCACTGCTGCAGTTCGTGACGCGTGCGGCGCTTTAGCTGCTGCAGCCGCGACTTGGGGCCGCCGAGCAGGCATGTGTGGGCGGCCGCCGACGGCGGTGGGGCATAGCTCAAATTGTAATTGTAATAATAGTAATAGTTGTTGTTGTAATGCTGCAGCTCAACCGGTACTAGATCTAGGGAATTGCCAACTTGGCCGCTACATCGATTGCTCGCTAAATAGTTGTCGTCATTATTTTTGTTGTTTTCGTATTGATTTGCTGCTGTTGTGGTTGTTGTTGTTGCTGCTGCTGCTGTTGCTGAATTGGTTTTAATGTTGTTGTTGTTGATATTATTGTTGTTGTTTGTTGGATGTTCATCATTACGGTATTTCTGTGGTTTGCGATAATATTACATGATGATACACTTGCCCTTTTCAGCCCACGGATTGTTCTTCTTATCCGGCGCATTAATCAATGGATCATTTTTTTCGTTCTCCTCAATAAAGGAGCGCATTCTGTAAGGAAATAAGTGGAAATGGAAATTTTGGTTAGTTGAGAAAACTGAAAGCTTATTATATATTAAAATAATAATAGATAAATGGACTCTTTACATAATATTTAACTTATCTTTGCTGAAATTGAACTGAGTCTAAGTCTTAAATATTTCATACTAAGAATTGATTTATCATTAAGTTTCCTCAGCTGTAAATGTGCTATTTTATATAAATTAACTTAATCGAAATCAACTTTTTTAGGTCTATGTAAGATAGCAAACACTGAATACATTGCTTATTATAGCAGGGTAAGGCTTAAGGGAATATTTTGTATATTAAGAGTCAAGTCCCTAACAGGTAAGTCTTGAGGGTGGTGAGACGTTTCAGCCTTCTCCTGGCTCTAGTGCGCGGACTAGCAGCACTTTGGGCTGCAGCAGCTGTGACGGCTAGCCAGGCTGCTTGGGTAAGAATCAAGTGTCTCTAGGTATTTTTTGAACACCTCTTGCATTCAGTCTCTCTTTAGCATTTTAACCTGAAGAAAACGAAGTTTATTTTGAAGTTTATTTAGAAGCAAAGATCTTCTTGACCAATTTCTTAAAGTACAATTTTTCTTAAATTATTTGATTACAGAAAGATTCTCATTGAGACTAGCTAAAGTTTATATATATATATATATATATATATATATATATATATATATATGATTTTTTAACATTTTGTTGTTTTAACTTCAGCTTTTTAGCTGGCCAAAGATTGCAAATAACCTCAAATTCTTTAAAAAATATTCTTATATTAATATTAAAATATTTTATATTAGCAGTGAAAACTGTGAAAGAGAAGCTCAAGTTAGCTTTACAATTCGCAAAGGAAATTAAATTTTATTCTCTTATTATCCACATTTGATAAACATGAATACTTGATCTGCTCCCTTTAGAGTCCTTTGTGATAGTTAGACAATAAAATCTGACGCACTTTCAAATGACAATGTCAATGCTTATGGTCCTTCCTCAGTAGAATAGAAAAGTCACTTCACACAGTTGCATATATTCATATTCCATAACGGCTTGTACACCTCGCCTAATCCCGGCTAAATTCTCTACTTTAAGCATCATAAAAGATGTAAGCTGCGTCCGCTGCCGCTGCCGCTGCCGCTGCCATACCACAGAAATCAAGCCATTTCAAAAATTGCATAATGGCAGCGGGCTTAAAGCTAAGCAGACATAAAATGAGGCACGCTTCAATGGGGCGCCAATGGTACCGGGTTGACGATGGCCGGTCCGGTTCGTAATAAACAAGGCAATGCCAAGTGCGGCAAGCGAGGGAAGCAGCTTTTATGCTAATCTCCACGCAGATGGACATTAAAAATGCTCAGCGTCAACCGTAAAGTGAAGACGACATCGAATATACCCTACTCACGCTCTGTGTGCACATAAGTGTTGTATTTGTTGTTGTAATACACTTATCCTTTAAGGCCATAAAAATGGCTGCCCTGTCGTTTGCATTTGTCTTTGCTCTCATTCGTTCTGTCGTTCCGTCCGTCTGCCTGTCCGCCTGTTACCCTGTCTGGCCATTTATTTTCCTTATTTTCGCTCAAGACGAAATTTCGTGCACTTTTGCTTGCCACGTTTTCATTTGCTTTTCTTCTCGCTTTTATTTTTTCGCTGGAAAATTCGCAAGAATTTATTTATTGCAGAGGAAGAGCAGAGGAGGGAGGCGTAAGAAATGACAGAATCGTTCGTTACAGTGCGCCGATAAAAGTATTCGCACAGACAGACTGCGTGGCACATGCTTTGCATTTCAATTTAGTGCGTCAATTGTTTACTTTGTATTTACCCTGACATCCACATTCATTTCGTTTTTTGGTCATGGCTCACGCGTCGTATGCGTTATATTTATTTATGAAAAAATAACATTTATTGACAAACGATTTGCGAATGAAAAGGGAATATATTTAAAACTTAAACTGATTTAAAACTAAAAAGAAATGGATTTAATGCTCTAAAAAAAACGTAAATGCCATTATCATTAGCATTATATCATTGTGGCCATGGCGTATGTGGCGTACGGGTAATTTATTTCCAAGCGATTTACGTAAAAAAATACGAATATATATATTAAAGCTTAGTTCAATTATAATTGTGATTTAAAACAAAAAAATATAAATTTAAATGCTCTAAATAAAACGTAAATGCCACTAACGTTATATCATTCGTCTGTGGCACACCCGGCGTATGAGTAATTTTATTTATTACCAATTAATTTAAGTTAAAACTAAATTATATTTGTGATATATTTATATATAATTTATAAATAAAAACATTAATTACATTAAAATATATTTATATTATAAATAATATAATTATTTATGCCCAGTTAAGTTATTTTTTACATTAAATAATATAATTTAATTTAATAATTTATATGTATAAACTTATGATAATGTAACATTGAAATAAAAAATTAAACCCAGATTTGTATTGATATACATCAATAAATATTTATTTCAATTTATTTTAAATTAAATTTATTTATTTTAAATATGTACTTTAACATTAATTTAGAAATAAAAAGTTGTATATATATTTTTAAAATTTTTTTACTTATAATTAAATATGTATTTAAATGTCAATAATTATTTAATCAAAAATTTATCAAATATTAATAGATATTATTAATTTGGTAACATAATTTATAAATATGTATAGCAATGAATAATTTTAAGTAAATAATCTCATATATACATTTTTATATGTTTCATATTTTTATACAAATATATTTAAATTAATGTTGTATTAAAATTTTGAAAATTATTAAATTCAACATTTATATAAATATTAATAGATGGTTTATTAATAAATAAACATCTACAAATATTTATATATATATATTTTTTTTTAATTATTATTTGAAATATATTCAATATTAATATATCACAAATTTATAAAAAATATAAAACTTACAATATTCATATAAAATGATAATAATAAAATATATATAAAATGAATATAATAAAATATAATAATTTATACAAATAATGTCAAATAATAAATAATATATTATATTTGTATAAAATTATTTGCTGATAAATAAATGTTATTTATTTATATTTTTTCAATATTAATTTGTGTAAACATGAAAATTGAATTCTCGTTAAATGCATCAACATTTGCGCTGCTCGCTTAGCCTCTATGATTTTCGTTTATTTATTGTTAATTGTCTTGTGTGGATTCAATTGCTGGCAATTGTTTGGCTATTTGGCTTTATTTGCGCAGAGGGCCGTATTTGTTATTGCTTATCTATTTGTGTGGCTGGCAGCTGCTTCTGCTTTCTGTTGTCGTTGTTAAGTCTGTCTGTTTGTCACTTGGCCTCAAAATTGTGGGGTTTTTCGTGTCTGTTTGGCCTTTGCATTTATGTGGGATTTCCCTGGCACATGTTTTCCTCTCGTTACGCTCATTAGTTTTGTTTGCTTGCCATTAAAGATTTGCGCCTATAAAATTGTGGCCCGGCACACGTGCCGTATACGCAATTCCATTTGCTGCAAACGTGTGCATTTGGCAAACTATTGTGCTGCTTCGCCAGGTGTGTAGGCGCAGGACACGCCCACTCATGTTGCCGCATTTATGCATAATTTAACTAACAAGACCTTGTCGACTTCGTAGTCCTTGTTTGGCTCCGTGCGAACGACGCTGTGTGTGTGAGCGTCTCTCTCTCTCTCTCTCCATGTGTGTGTGTGTGTAGGCGTTTCTATTTCCTTGCTCATTTTCCGCACCAGCAGAGCAAAAGGCAACGTCAGGTAAAGGTAAGGAGTGAGAGGTGGGCAACTGTGGCATAGAATAGGTTTAGCTAGATACATAAAACAATGCCCGCCGAGGCTAATGGGCTTATGACTCTGCGGTTTTTGGCTTGTGCAGCCGGAAGAACCTACAGGCGCTGCTGCTGCCGCTGCCCCTGCCCAACTCACCTCGTCCCTGAAACATGCCGAATCCAGCAGCTGAATGCGAAGGCGACAGCGAAAGTATTTTAGCCCCCAAACAAAAGGCCAAGGGTTCCATTTTTTTTTGTTTTTTTTTCGGCTTGGTTTGGTTTGGCTTGGGCTACGGTTCGACAGTCAAGACTGTTGTGGGGATTTGGCCTAAAAAGGCAGTCAACAAAGTTGTTATGATGACGTTTTTTTCTGCTTTCTACTTTTTCTCTCGTGCTGCGAACACTGGGCGAGTGAAAGTAAAGTCTTGTAGCTCTCTGTGTTAGCTCTATGACATTTCATTTTGTTGCAGGGCAACTCTGGGAAAACGCTGCTGCTTATCATGTATTTATAATGAGCGCATTAGCAAAATGTCCAGAAAAGGTTGGCCAAAATCTCCTAAGCATCTTACAGAGAGAACAGTATGAGAGAGAGTGTGAGGGAGCCAGCTAAGACGACTGTGCTTAAAGTGTTTGGCTGGTTGAGATTTACATTTGGCGCGACTCGTTTCGGCGTGCCACTTTTCTTTTACTGGCCCTCTTTGTTGGCCCAGTCATTGTCTTTAAAATTTATAGCCTACTTTTCAGCGCTGGCTTAAAGAGTCGCCGATTGTCGCTTTAAAGTGGATCTCAGTTATTTCAGCTGTCAGTGGAAGCGGAATAGACAGGCAGCATTTAATGAAGTCTTTAAGGCTTAAGGCTTCAAGCATAGCGAACTTAGAATTCAGAGATGGCCAACAACTCCCACTTTAAAATACAGGGTATTAATAGATTCCTGTGCCGGAATAAAAGCTGGCTAATGATGATGTCATCGTCAGCTGTACGCAGAAAAGAGGCAAAGTTTGCTCATAACTGTAAGACGCATTTAATAAGCAATGGCAGAAGGAAAGTTGATGGAATACGAGAGAAACATAAAAAAGTTTCACTCGAGCTGCAGAACGTGCCGCAGCTGTAGCAAATAGCTTCACTTGCCACACAGATTTCTAAAGTCAGATTTCTAAAGTCTGTCTGTCCGTCCATCCGTCTGTCTGGAATTCGTTTGTCCATTCAGCCATCCACAT